TACATGTGTTGTGTTACGCGCTTCCATCTGTGCGTCACACATGATTCCTTGAGCATCTATCTCTGGTTCGTCTCCAACTTTTAACAACTTGTAACTCGACTCCATTGGAACTTGAGTCGTGTTACACCCTTGAATATCTGTTCCTTGAATCTTGTCGATCCACTTTAACCATGTAGGTTTAGCAGGCGGTCTATCTACAAGCTCCCACGTCTTGCTTCTTGTGATAGCTTCCATCTCGGCTTCCATAGCTTCAACCCATAAGTAGTTCGTCATCTTCAACTCAGCTGAGGTAAACTCTCCTCCTCTATCGATGCAGCCTACATTGGATTTAGCTGAGGCAAACTCTCCTCCTCTATCGGTGAGAAAGGTTCTGATGGGTTCCTTCAACCTTTTGAACCGATCGAATACCTCATGCTTCTTCTTCAATAGTATAGCCGGGAATTCATGTCTAATTTGCTTCTCTGTTAGACATGCGTTACACACGACATCTCCGTGTGTTACACTCAAGAATGAGTGTCTGTTTTGCTTCACTGCGTCACACACGCCTTCTTCGTGTGTTACACTCGGGAATGAGTGTTTGATCTGCTTCATTGTGTCACACACGCCTTCTTCGTGTGTTACACTCGACATTCTTTTGACTAACGTCTGAAGTCTCACCCTCCTTACACGAACAGCTCCAAGGTGTCGTGACCTGATGGCGTTACAGATGTCTTTAGAAGCGGCTTGTTCTCCCACCTGGCGAATCAAGCTTTCAGAAGCAACTTGTTCTCCCACCTGGAGAATCAAGTTTTCAGAAGTGTACTGAAACAAAAGAGAAATCGCAACATCGTTCTTCTTTTGATCATCCGAACCAGGTTCTATCGTGCCATGAACACGCATCATAACCTTCATCCTCATCGACCAAACAGTATAGTTTGATGATGACAACATAGGACATTGGATGGATGTAGTTCCAAGGTCCTTCGTGCGTGGAGCCCTAGTCACGTCCGCCATCTTGCTCGCGTGTACTCTTGGTCACAAGCACCAGGATCAAAGCTTCAACTTAAGCTTAGATCGAGTCTCCAACCTGAGAAGCTCTGATACCAATTCAAATCTCTAGAAACACAAAGAATTATAAGAACAACTTTTCTTATTAGCTTTAGAAACTACTCAAAACTAAAGCTCACAATGTGTTTCTCTTAGATCATTAATCTACTCTCTTAGATCTTATGGAACACCTCTCCATAGATCTCTATTTATATGCAAGATAATTCCCTTGAACATGTGGGAAATAGAAAACACAAACCTAATCTAATAGAAAACTTCCTTTTCCTATTTCTAGATTTCCTTATTGTGTTTATCTCTTAACATATTAAACATCCAATAATATGTTAAGTTTCCACAAGCTTGGAATTACCCAACACAATCTCGTAAATTTGATGGGGTCTGCGTTAGATTTCTAGAGAGAGAGAGTGTCTGTGAAAAAAGCTGAGAACTTTATTCGTCTAGAGAGAGAGAGAAAGATGGAGGCGAAGCAGATGAGGTTTCTTACTCACCAAGCTTTCTTCTCCTCAGTTCGATCAGGAGACCTCAACCAACTCGAAGAATTAGTCGAAAAGTTAACCGGAGACGAGCTCATCGATGAGTCATCGCCCTCTTCTGCTGTGTCCGAGCTTATGTCCGTTCAAAACGACGCCGGAGAAACCGCCGTTTATATCGCCGCAGCGGAGAATCTGCAAGATGTTTTCAGTTACTTGATTAGGTTTTGTAGTTTGGAAACAGTTAAGATCAGATCCAAATCCGACATGAACGCTTTTCACGTTGCCGCCAAGAGAGGACACTTAGGTATGTCTTGTCTGAATGTCCTAATTTCTCTTTTTTGCTGAATCTTGAATACACAGATCTTTAATTTCAATTCTAAATCCATCTTGAAAACTATAATTCATGGTTCTCAAATATTTTAGGAGCTTTAAACAATTTAGTAAAACTCCAAAAAAATCATTTATAACAAATTTGATATATTTATATATGTAATTGTTTTTCTAAATTTGATACTTAAAAAATTCTTTTCTAAAAAAAGACCCTTTTGGCTCTAACTATCTCCAGGAATAGTGAAGGAGCTGCTAAGTCTATGGCCCGAGCTCTGCAGAATCTGTGACGCGTCAAACACGAGTCCACTCTACGCAGCTGCGGTTCAAGATCACTTAGAGATAGTAAACGCAATGCTGGATGTTGATCCCAGCTGCGCAATGATCGTTAGAAAGAACGGGAAAACATCGTTGCACACAGCGGGAAGGTACGGTCTTCTTCGGATAGTGAGAGCTCTTATAGAGAGAGACGCAGCGATTGTTGGTGTCAAAGATAAGAAAGGTCAGACCGCTCTTCACATGGCTGTTAAAGGGCAGAGTGTGGAAGTAGTTGAAGAGATTTTGCAGGCTGATTACAGTATATTGAATGACAGAGATCGTAAAGGGAACACAGCGTTGCATATCGCTACTCGGAAGTCCCGACCACAGGTACTAAGAACGCTCTAGTTTAAGTGTGTTATTACCAAATGTTCTCAAAATTGGCTTAGACATAAGTGGCAAAATGGTCAAAACATTTTCATTATATCCGATTTTTGATATTCAAATCGGTTTAAAAACAGTTTTAAATTTGTTTAAATCATCTAAATTGGTTCAAATATTAAATTAAACAATAATGTAAGTGCTAATCCACAAATTTATCTAATTTCTTTTGATATATCTAATTAGTATTTATCAAAATAATCTTATAATTAAACAAAAAACTACTATAAATACAATGCATAGAAAAATTAATCAATACTTTTTTTAACATTTAAGTCATGTTTATCGTCAATAATCTGCCTAGTTGATAATATTTTACAAAACGACTAGTTACATGATGTTGATTGTGTTCTGTCTTTTTTATCATTGGTTATTAGGTTTGTCTCTTGAGAAAGACTGTTGTTGATTGTGTTCTGTCTTTTTTTAGATAACGAGCTTGTTACTAACGTTCACGGCGCTTGAAGTAAACGCGGTTAACAACCAAAAAGAAACCGCAATGGACTTAGCTGATAAGCTTCAATACAGCGAGTCAGCTCTGGAGATCAACGAAGCCTTAGTAGAAGCAGGCGCCAAACACGGAAGGTTCATAGGCCGTGAAGACGAAGCTAGAGCCTTGAAACGAGCAGTGAGCGACATCAAACACGAGGTGCAATCACAGCTTCTACAGAACGAGAAAACCAACCGACGCGTGTCTGGGATCGCCAAAGAGTTGAGAAAACTCCACAGAGAAGCGGTTCAGAACACAACTAACTCAATAACGGTCGTGGCGGTTCTTTTCGCGTCCATAGCGTTCTTGGCGATATTCAACTTACCTGGTCAGTACTTCACCGACGGGTCACGAGCGGGTAAAGCTGAGATCTCGGGGAGTACAGGGTTCAGAGTGTTCTGTCTTTTAAACGCGACGTCGCTGTTTATATCGTTAGCGGTTGTGGTGGTTCAGATAACGTTGGTTGCGTGGGACACACGTGCGCAGAAGAAAGTTGTGTCGGTCGTGAATAAGTTGATGTGGGCGGCTTGTGCGTGTACGTTTGGGGCGTTTTTAGCGATTGCGTTTGCGGTTGTGGGGAAAGGGAACTCGTGGATGGCGATTACGGTGACGGTTCTTGGGATGCCGATACTGGTCGGGACGTTGGTGAGTATGGGGTATTTTGTGTTTAGGCAGAGGTTTAGGAGTGGTAATGATTCTCAGAGGAGGATAAGGAGAGGGAGTGGGAGTAGATCTTTCTCTTGGTCTTACTCTGCTCATGTTTCTGATTTTGAGGATGAGTCTGATTTTGAGAAGATTATTGCTCTTTGAATTGGATTTTCCTCTTTGTATAGTGAAGAGAGGAGAGGTTGTCTCTTCTTTTTCTTTTCTTTTTCTATGTTTGTGCAAAAAAAAGATGAAAAATGTAATGTTGTTGTAACATTAGGAAAAAAAATAATGTTGTATTTATAGGAAATAAATAAACAGAATATATATAATCTTATTCGTAGTTGAGTATTTCATATTGTGTGACTTTAGCCTAATACTTGTTAACATCTAACCAAATGAAAGAACAGAGTAAAACCGATGTGCCAGAAATCCATTAAATCAGCTTAAACTCGATTTTTTTACAGCCTCTCTTGCTCTTTCGAGGGTGAACTTCAGACTCATCTTACCACTAAGAGAAGATAAGGGATGAGTTATGGACGGTCGATTTACGATGGACTTACTCATGTGCACAAACCAACACGCACCCCTTACCAAAACCAGAGAGCTTGGCTTACATTACAGACTTACAGTCAATTGTTACATGACACATACTTCACATATGGTAAAAATAGAAGTGTTAACTTTTCTTTGTATGAGAGTCAGAATTCGTGAAGCGATGCTCGGACCTCCTCAGATCTGCAAACTTTGTACATGAGAGGTAATAAGAGGTTTCGCAGGAGAAAATGAAAACGTTTTAGCACATCATTCAACATAGATAATACAATAAGTAATCTCTACACTATTCTCCCCATGTGGTTTTCCAGTTTTAAGAAAAACAACACAAAACCACATGATGACTTCTTTTTCTTACATCCACAAAGGTAAAAAACAATGCTCCTTTACAACAACAAGAACATCGAAGCAAATTCAAGAAAAGATACCATTGCAGAACAATAAACAACCATATTTTTTGTTTCAATTCAAATGGGGCATATCATTCAACATAAGTATACAATAAGTAATCTCTACACCATTCTCCTCATATGGTTTTCCAGTTTAAAAAGCACAACAAAAAAACCACATGATGGCTTGTTTTTCTTACATCCACAAAGGTAAACAAATAATCTTCCTTTTATAGACAAGAACAATGAAGCAAATTCAAGAAAAAGATACTATAACAATGGGTAGACGGAAGAATCTGTCGTAAATAAAACACCCGACAGAGAAAAGATAGAGATATACAGGAGAGGAAGGGATCAGTGGTGTCTATACCAGGAGGTTTATAGCTGTAACTGACCAGAGCCTTTTCTAGATCTTGGTGAAGGTCGATTGTTATCTGCAACTGATGATGATGATGTCAAGGAAGGTGGTTGTTGTTCTTTAGATGTCTTCACCTCCTAACACATCAATTTAAACCACAGTGATATTAGTTTATGTCCCTCCAATTGGCAGCGTTTCTAACTTCACATAATCGCAGAAAATGAAATAAGAAAAAAAAACAGCGTTTTCACCCACTGTAACCAATCCAAGACAACTTCTAACATAATTTGTTTTATCTTGATTTCGGCAAACATTGTGTGATTGGTATTAAAATTCCTGAAACTGTGTCACCAATCAAAGCATTTCGATAAACATGTGTTGCGTTGTGACTACCAACCTTTGATGTAGAAGAAGAGGAAGTGCTGTTATATGAGTAGTTCACTTTCTTCCTTGCCTGGCCACGATGCTGATTCTGCACATTCTCAAATTGTTGCAGCCGTGCAGCAAAATTGATTCCTTGGTGACAACTGTTGATAGTATTGTCTTCTGGATCACCGTCGTTCTCGTGATGAAGCCTATACTGAGAGGAAGGAACTCCTGAAGATGCTCTGCTTATTTGGTCTCCACCGCCACTGAATGAGTACGTTGGGACAGTTTTGAGCCTTGTCTGAAGTATCCTAAACGCCGCACTTTGCTGAATACAGAAAAAAATAAACCAGTCACTACTAAAATCCACCATTTTTGCGATAAACCGACAGAACAAGTGTTGTTATAGTCTTCTCTTCGTTGTATTTTACCTGCGGAAGTAACATTAGAAGACCATAAAGTGTTTTCAGCAACCATGGGTACCTTCCTGGTTCCAGAAGCTTGAAAAGAGAATAGGTTTCAGTATCAATGTATTGAAGAAGCCAGAAAAAGGAGACAGATCATTTGGGTTGAGATAAATCAATCAAACCTGCAATCTAAGGTAAGTAAAGATTGGAGTTTCGAGAAGACGAATCAATTTATCAATCTGTACGAGAAATCTGACGTTTATGTCTTCTTCTACCAATGATTGAATAACGACACTTGCGTGCTGGTAAGCCTGACAATAATTCCATTTGCTGATATTCAACACCGGATGGTGATAAGATTAAAAAAAATATAAACAAAAGAATGTTTATGTAATTTACCTGAGCTAATAAGCAGAGGCTTATAATTGCCATGGGTGAGTGGCACCATGAAGCGTACAAGGCAACCAAAAGTTCTTTCCCTTCACGAGTGACGAGCGAACCTCTTAAAAGGTTTCTTAGCTTTGATAACTCTGAGGATGTAAGCAAAATCAAATTCAGTGCCTGAAAACATAAAAGAAAAAGACAGTCAAGTCAAGTCAAAGCAAGGCCCTAGGAAACTAAATCAATCATCTAATTGTCTTAACCATCAAACATTCCTTAAATTTGGGAAGGGAGAAACACCTGAACCATGGTTGCAGCAAAGTCAAGATTATCTTCTCCCTCTAGTATAGTTGAGAGCTCTCGATAGACTCTTTCGGCATCCAAAAGTACACACAGTCTCCGGATAATAAGGGCACCGCGCCTAAACAAAAAATGGTTTTGACTAACTAAATACTATGTTCTTTCTAGAAACTGTAAGACATATTGTAGGAAGGGACTCACCTTTCCAATAGAGAATAATCCGCTCGAAAATTGTGGATAAGAAAGACAAAGAGTTTGCGAAAGTGTTGTGGATCTTTTGCTATACCGGCATGAACTTCCAGAACCAAGAGCACCACCTTTGATATATTTTAAAGTCCAGAGAGTTCATTATCATATTAATTAATTACTGGACAAAACCAGACTTCACCAAAGAAACACTCAGGGAGATAAAACTTACGTCATCAGACGAATCAGCTAAGGCTTTTAGCAGTGTATCAAATATTTCATTCAGGAAGCACATGACCTGTTACAATATTACCTCTTAAGCTTTAAAGCGATGAACAAAAGGGGTAATTAGGAAAAGAAGGATGCCAAACAAAAACTGGTCTTCCCACCTCAGCACGATGCTTGTTTAAAAGTGTTGATATCCAAATCAATGCTTCAATTCGAGTAGCCTCATGATCGCTTGATAGCTGCCTGGTCGATGCAAGAAGTCAACCAAAATCAGGCGAACATTGATAGCATTCGGAAGGACCAAAAACAAAGACATAGGAAAAAAAACAAACCTCTTTGCTACAGAGAGAATTGCACCAACATCAAAACCATCTGAGGGTTCAACATGGATTGAACGAAGTTCTTCATTGGTTTCACGAGCAACCTTATGCAAGTAAATAAACACAAAAAAGTGAAACGTTGCAGACGAGACCAACAGTTTCCATCACTAAGGGGGAGGAACCAAATCTACCTCTCTGATTTTTTCATTGTTGTCAGACACGCAAGGCAAGATAGCTCCAAGAATATCAGCATAGTAGTGCACGAGCTGATCACCCCCAAGTGTTACAAACTCGTTCATCTACAGAAGTACATTTTTTTCAATTAAAACCCATTCAGATCATATGATTCCCGGAAAGGCAAAGTCGCTCCCATGTAAACCGCCAAGCAGAAGAATGTTCTTTTTTTAATCTTCTTACCCACGTGATAGCTGTTAACCGAGTGAATTCATCAGGAGACGAAGCCCTCTGCACCAGTATTTCAGCCATGCGACCATAATCTACAGACTGTTAACAATAGTATTGCTCCAGTCAGAAAATTACCGATTGAATCTTAAAAAGGCACACTAACTAACAAGAAGTGAGAAACGTACAGAAAAATACTGAAAAGGGATTATAAAATCGGACACAACAGAAACCGTACTGGTGAATTTTTAATCTCTTGAAGAAACTCTGAAAGAGCAGAAACAGCCTGCTGTCGTATTTCATGCCTAGAGTCGCCCAACATATTGAATAACCCTGGAAATTAACTGACAAGTTAGTTCAGCTGAACATAACACAATTAACTACACTTGAATAAGGTAAAGTTAACAAAAAAAAAACTGCAATTACCATCAAGAAAGTCTGGTAGAAATCCGAGCATATCAAAGTCTGGAACACTGTCAAGAACAGTGATCCATCCTACCAGAAACTGTCGAACATAAGGGTTTAAGACGTTCATGCGGTCTTTTAACAGAGGTATGAATTCCTCAATACTGCAAAATCCAAAAACCAACAAAGTGAACCAGATAGTAATAGACAGAAAAAGGCCAACTAAAAACACACCTGAACTCATCACTTTCCGTCACAATATCCTATTCCACAAAGAGTACAACTCTAATCAGCATACGATTAAAAAAATCAATATAAAAGAGGGAAATATTCATATACCTTAACAAGTCCATCTAAGACATGAGCAGCACTTTGGACACTAGGATCAGAATCTGCCGAGAGTTTGCATAAAGCGTCAAAGATCTTATTGAAGAAAAAAATGAACTCGCCTCTGACAACCTGTAGTAAACAAGAGAGATTCAATGGCAGTACCACAAGATAGTAATGTTATTATACTAGTAGAGTGTGTTATACCTTTGCAATGTTATAGAGAGCTTCGCAAGCATAGTACCGAACTCGGCTATCTTGATCAGATAAGGAGGTGATAACAGGTGGCACTATTTGCTTCATGTTTCATTAAAATCAAAAAGAAGAATCAGAAACTATAGTGCAAAGGCCAAAGAGTTATAACAATTCGAAGTCTTTATTTAAAAAGATACCTCAAGGTATTGTGGAGCTTCTGAGGATAAGCCAACAGTAACAGCAGCTAAGGCAAGAACTCCACCCTATGCAAAGATAAATTAATTAAAGTAATTTTAGCAAATGTGAAAAAGAAGTAATGAAGGAAATAGGAAACCTTGCGATGATTAGGTTGGGGAGAATTGGCAAACTCCTTGATCAGCATGTCAATGACTTTAGAGAGCTTTTCATGGTCACACGCTGAAGTTAGATTCTTCACAATGTTCTCAATCTACACAATTTAAAAGAGGCAAAGCAGTTACAAATCATCATCATCATCAGAGAATGAAAGGAAGAGAGAAGTGAGAAGTGAGAACCTCAAGGGCAGCATTTTTGCGCTTCTCGTAGAGTTTATCGGAGAGATTGCGATGAACGGCGGCGGGAATCAAGGAAAGTGCGTCTGACATGTCAGATGATGAAACCCTAAAATCCTCTTTCTTTCTTTCTTTTTTGCTTTCTTTGCGAATTTAGAAGAAAGTGCGGAAGGATTATTCTTAAGCGTCCTTTGCACGAATCCTGTCAAAACAAGGAGGACGAGGAACTCATCAATAGCTCCACCAGTTGTTACAGTTTCCTGGAAAATTACAAAAAGTTTTGATTATTATTAATATATGTATTTGTTTTTGTTTTGTTTAATTTTACAACTGTTTTCTATCTACTTTTCTTCCTTCCGACCAAAAAAAAAAATCTACTTTTCTTCCTTGTTTCTTCAGTGGATATTTTCTTTTTTAGTCAGTCATTAATTAATAATAATAACACACAAGTGTTGTTTTCCAAAAAGAAAAGTAAAATTAAATCAGTAGACACACAACAAAAAGTGCGTGATCTCCCATCTAACAGGGGTGATACCGGTATTTTACTTTAAGTTATACATTGGCATTCGGTTTGGATTTGTAGTTGATATCTAATTTGTTTTATCGACTTGCTTCTCGTAGATTTTGGAGGCAATTGTAGGAACTATATATTAGTTTCCTTAATTTGTTAAATGTTTAGTTTTCAGGTGCCATTGAAAGGTTAAAATCCTGTTGACTTCACTTGGTGGATGAATAATTCTAATTCTACCATCAAAGTACTCTATCTCCAAAAGAGTAAATTAGAAACCAAAGATACATCTATAAAAGGCAACAGCAACTACAAAACTCTTTGTGTTTTTAACAAGAAAAGTCATATAAAGCTTCTTATATCTTTTAGGAGTCTATTAAGATGCAAGTGAAGGAAGGACTTTTCTCTGAGATTTCTACTTCTTGACGATATTGAGATCGATGTGTACATACGCAAGAGATGTCACAAACACAAAGAAGAATGCCGATACAAGCATGAGTGGTTCCGCAAGCATGTATATTGGTTTGAATGTATAGTACACCTGCCAAAAAACCATCACATAACATTACATCAGTTTTACAACAACCATCTGTAAACTTATGGAACATATTCAGTTTTGAGCTTATTGCTGATAAAACTATTGCACCAAGGTTTTTAGGGTTCTTTCTCTAATAAAACAAATAACAAGAACATCATGATGAACTAATCTAGGCTAGGACAGAAGCTAAGTTTTAAAGGTAATGTTTTTACCTGGAAGGGTACGTTGTGAGTGGGAACTACATTATCCTTTTGCAACACAACCACGGTTCTTCCCACGATGTCAAGGTATGAGTATTTGACCTGACACATGACCATTATAGATCCATGTTAACTATAATTTGCAAATGTAGGTCATGTATCTGTGCGGTTGATTATGTACCTGTAAGTCTTGATTGACTGTGAATGGCAAAACAGCAGAGGGGTCCTTTGATCCTTCAGGAAGCACGACCTGAAACATAATCTTCCTGTGTTAGCGAGTGATTGCTAACAACAGTGCTTAGCTAAAGAAAACGAAAAAATTGGTAGAAAATGCAAACTAAACCCACTTTGAGAGTAAACTTGTTAACTATAGTTTCAACGAGTGGGCAGCCAAAGGTAAAGTTCAAGTAACGTCTGCCATCGGGTGCTTCAAAGAGATAGTCCTCCAATGGAACTCGATAGCCGATGACAAATGTTGCTCTCCACCCTCCAAATAACGGGTATCGCGGTTCAAATTCAAGTTCCGACTACAAAAAACCGACACTTGTTTTTAGAATTGATCACTTTTTTCAAGTATAAAGTTTGAAGTAGACGTTCCTGAGCATCATTGTGAATTGATGTAACACACCACACCCCGTTGAATAGTTATAGCCTTAGGAGAATTTTGTAGGGAATAAATATTACTGCCTAAATGGCCAGAGATGAAGAGAAGAGGGCAACACAAATATACCTTCTTAAAGCCTGTGCGCAAATGTGAAGTTGAAATGTTGCCGATGTCATCCCTGTAGTAGACAGAGTTAACTCTGGGAGGAAGTACTGCAAGGAGCGCATTGAAAGAGGATGAACCACTGATAGAACGTCTAGATTGATATTCAACCCTGCAAAAAGTCAGAAAGCCATTTCAGAACAATGGAATACCTACTAATGATCATACATAGCTATTGACAAGATAGTGTCACTAACAGAGAAAAGTTGTCAACGATAGCAGAAAAAATGATCCTTAACAGTTACCTCTAAAGACTAAACCATATTCAGAAACTCTATAGCATACAATGACTAGAGATAAACCTCCAATAATCACCTCCTACATACAATACGCCATTAGGCCCATTACATACCTTGAGAAAACACCCTTATGCCGAGCTCCTCCATGAGTCAACCTGTAATTCTCAGTTATCTGAAGGCTACCCCAGTGTGAAATCTCAACTTCACGCACGAGTTCCTCAACAACAGCAAACGGACTGTTATTCTCAAAGTGAAGAATAACAGGTGCGTACGAGTACGGAGCACGATCCTCATACGGTCCATATCTGATCTCTTTCCCAGCTCGGTTAGCAGGTTCGACGCTAGTGAACGACTCTACTCTAGCACTAGGAGTCTTAAAGAAAGTTGCCTGTTGCTTAACATGATAAGGCGACAGTATCACTGCACTATCATGGTAGTAAACCAACTGAGACTCTGACTGGGTTATCTCCACTGGGAAAGGCTCCAAGGAGTGAGTCAATATATAAAGAACCTCAAGTGTAACAGTTTCACCGGGGGCTAAGGGGGTTGCAAAGGAAACAAGGAAGTAGCCAGAGTCTTTAGGTGAATCAGGCTGTTCAGTTGGTTTCACGTCAAGAGGCAAGTAGGTTTTCTTCTTCTTCTTTCCCGTAACTGCCATGGCTTGGACCATTGCTAAATTCTTGATTTGGATAGGTGGGAAAGCAAGAAGCATATCTGCAGCTGGATCTTTCCCAATGTTTTCGACCTAAAAGAAACAAAATTCAGATAAGAAACTGTTACCTTCAAATATCTAAACAGTGTTCAAATTCCAACCTTGTAGTGTATTATCATCAAAAGGAATAGCTTTGAAGATAGATAGAGAGAGAGAGAGAGAGAGAGAGAGAGAGAGAGAGAGAGAGAGAGATGATACCTTAAGAGTCAAGAAGGCCTTCACGATGTGTGAGCTTAAATCAATCTGCAGAGATAAACCAACACAAAAGAGAAGAGAAATTTAGAATCAAAACACCACTTTATTTCAAGAAAGGAGATTCATGTATCATTATGCGTTCAAATTAATGAAACTACAGGTACATTATATATCAATGTACATAAAATTGAGGCCTAGGCTATTCATCACAGTAAAAATACAAAACAAGCATACTACATAGATCGGAGAATCGGTAAAGGCGAAGAGAAATTTCATCGACTTGAAGTTCTATAAGGAGTAGAAACGGATCCATTAAGGAAAGAAGATATATATAGATACCATTCGCTCGGCATTGACGATCTGGAGATCGTGAGCGGAGGAGGATGAAGGAATAGATAAGAGTAGAGCTGCAACTACGGCGAAGATCCAGATACGAGCAGCCATTTTCGTCACTGCACTAAGAAGAAAACTTATTAAACCAAAAGAGCTGGTGAGATGGCAAATTAGTAATAGGATTCGGAAGATCGGGAAGAGGAGGGGAGTTACAGACCCGTGAAAGAAAGAGAGAGTGAGATCTCGACGGTGGAAGGATATCGTCGGTTGGTGAGGTGAATCAACGATCCGGTCAAGTCGTCTCACGATTTAGAGGTGAGTTTCTAAGAACCAAAAACGACATGAGGTGTTATCGTTTTGAAATTAAATGGGCCTTAAGAATAATCAGTATAGCTATTAGTAGGCTTTTTTTACCACTTGTAAGCCCATTTATAAGGGGATAAAACATCTTAATTGGTGGTGCACAAGAAAACAAAATAAACATCTTATTGGTTAAATCGACAGCCTCCAGTTGGATGTTCTCATACCTCCACTATACGAGTACAATTTTGTTCACGGATAAGTTTTTTTAAATGTCCACTTTTGATGTATGTTTTGACTATGCAAAACAAAACAAAAAAATGTTTGACTATGCGCTATAAGCAACAAAAACGAGCAGCTTGACTACTTTAACGCCAGTTTATAGCTAACAAGACATGGCAACATCAAAAGGTCAAAGGATAATTCGGGATGATAATTAACATTTTATTAGTCTAATCGTAAATTAATTATTATTATTATCCTCGTTAACTCTGGTTAATTACTAGTTTAAGTCAATTTAAAAAATGTCCGCCATGACTTAGCGTTTTCTAGAGATAGAGAGAAAGTGAAAGCAGAATCAATTCTCTTCGTCGGTTAAAAAAACGATGTCGTCCTCGTCCTCTTCTCCTTCTGATTCCACGGCGGCGCGTGATCAACACACACCACTTCTCCGCCCGCGTCAGCACGGCTCCTCTTCTTCATCATCAGCCAGGCCTACAGCTCTCGCCGTTCTCTTGGGCCGGATCACCGGCCACCGCGCACCCTCCATGCTTGTTCGTGAGACGGCGGCGCGTGCTCTCGAGGAGAGACGCATCGACTGGGGCTACTCGAAGCCCGTCGTCGCCGTTGACATACTATGGAACGTCGCTCTTGTAATTGCGTCGGCGGTTATGGTTGTCGGCACCGTGGAAGAAAGACCAAACGAACCGATCAGGGTTTGGATCTGCGGATACGGGTCACAGTGTTTGATCCACGTGGCGTTGGTTTGGTCTGAGTATTGGAGGAGAAACAGGAGGCGTAGAGCTAGAGACTTGGAGTCCGGTGATGATCTTGAAGGTTACAACAGTGAGTATGATCATGTAGAAGATGGTGAATTTTCAACAACAACATACAGGTTTGGTCTTATGATGGTTTAGTGTCTTCTTGTCTTTTTTTTTTAATTTTTTTTTAATTTTTTTTGTAAAAAAGTATGTTCTGATGAATGCAGTTTTGCAAAAAGATGTGAGTCCATAAACACTGTGGTATCATTCATATGGTGGATAATTGGATTCTACTTGGTAGTACAAGGTGGAGATAGGCTTTTAGGAGAAGCACCTAACCTTTACTGGTAATATATAAAATCACATTGCTAAAACTCTACACATGATTTACTCTGTTTTCCTCAAATCTTGGTTTGTTTGGCAGGTTGTCGGTGATTTTACTGGCGGTTGATGTGTTTTTTGCTATCTTCTGTGTTGTGTTGGCTTGCCTTGTTGGTATAGCTCTTTGCTGTTGCCTCCCTTGCATCATCGCTCTTCTTTACGCCGTTGCTGGGACGGTATGAACATCAAAAACATCCATCTTTGTGGGTCTTTAAAAGATTACAATTTTGCGGGTTTATACAGGAAGGGGTATCAGAGGCGGAGCTTGGTGTTCTTCCCATGTACAAGTTTCATGCTTTTTGTTGCAAGGAGAAGAGTAATACCGGAGCCGGTAAAATGGTTCCTGTTTTGACTGGTGGATTATGCTTAGCAACTGAAAGAACATTACTTGCTGAGGATGCGGTAAGGCCAATCTGTTACGAAGAGTATCTGGTAATGTTGTATAGAGTTTGAAAGATGTCTTTACTATGATTTATCTGCAGGACTGTTGTATATGTCTGAGCTCTTACGAAGATGGAGCAGAGCTTCATACTCTTCCTTGTAACCACCATTTTCATTCCAACTGTATCGTTAAATGGCTTAAGATGAGAGCAACGTGCCCTCTCTGCAAACACAACATCCTTAAAGGAACCACTGAGCAATCTTGAAGACGGACTCTAATAGAGCAGAGACATAAGTTCCATTTCATAACTCTTCTATATATATATACATATATAACAATTATAACCATGTAACTTTGTTAAAAGGTATCCATTTTTAAATGTAAAAGATCACATTTTACTAATCATCTCTAAGTTCAAGTACAGCTCCACTTCGTTTCCAAAATCGTTTACGGCATTTCGCATCATGAAGCACCACTGATGCAGAGACCTCTTAGTTTGCATATTCAGAAACAAACCTGACGCAGCAGTGTCATGTGTTCCTCCTTTTCAGATGCTCAAATCAAGAGATCAAAAACAGATGCATCAGGGCTACCCTCTCTTCTCCACATTTCATCGAAAAGTTGTCTAGCCTCGACCATCAATCAAAGTCTTGTTAGCTAAACAGTACATCATTGTCATGTAGGTTAACAAGTCGAGCTCGAGAGCCTCTTAAACCATTTTGTTTTTTTTTAACTTAAATGCATCCACCAAGTTCCCTTTGCTTACACAAACCAGCTATCCAAGAAGTGCACATGAACAAAGTCCTGCCTCTGAAAAGTTTGTTAAAGAGTCTCTGAAACTCCTTTGCACAAAGCGTCAATAAGCACAGTGTGTACATAACATCATTGGCTTTCTTGGCAGGCGAGTCAGTCAAAGTCGAAAGTTCAGGGCCGAATCTTGGACACAGCCGAATGAAACATTCAGATTGGTCCCCAAAAATTTTAAAGATTTTTAATATAGGAATAAGCCCCTAAACATTGACTTGGTCCCTAAAAATTTTGAGAGTTCTTAAGAAATGTTTTAAGCCTCCAAAATCTCAAATCCGACCCTGAAAGAGCTACACCATCCGGCTCGAAACCTCCTCTATGAAATCACGATACACTTCATCAGCAGCCTTCATGCACCGGGATTTGAAATATGCATTCATCATTGTTGTCAAGATCATATAATTGGGATATTTTGAATAACAAATAGCTTATATGGTTCAAATAAAATATCGGATAATTTATATTATTATAAATATTAGGAAACCACCCCGCGCGTAAACACGCGGGAGAAAAGATGTTTTTTTAAAAGTAATTTTTATATAATTTATATTTGTTAGTCAATCATTTTGAATCATTTAATAAACTAATTATTTTATACGAGAATCAATACTTAAAAAATAATCTTATATAATAGAAGAGTGAAAGTATAATTTGTGTTTGAAAATGTATAAATTCAAATGTTATGTGTTTAGCATAATAATACTAAGTAAACTTTAATATTAAAGTCGCAGTCATTTTCTTTTATCTTTTTATATATGAGAAGACAAACTTTTAAAATTTGTTGAAATGATGGAACAGTTTAAACCTTTTAATTAAAGAATATAATATGTTTTAAAACACTGTAATTAACATGCAAAGAACGACATTTTTAAATCTATGACGCTTAGTACCTCCATACAAACTGGATTAGAAAAACAAAAAAAATGGACTTTATCAGAAGAAGAATAAGAGATTACAAAAAAAAAAAAGGTTGTTTTCTTACAGCCAGATTGGTTTGGATATGGTAGTTTAGTTTCGCTGAAACTAAACCTATTAAATTATTGTTGCAGACACCACATTAAATTTTTAAAGATCGTTTAAAACTATATAATGAATCAAACATTATATTCAAGAGTACTAAGAATCATACCTATATTAGAAAAAAAAACACATAAATTTTCTTAAAAAATTGCATCTGTAAAACATTCTATTTATAGTAATCTGAAAAGGTACATTGATAGATTATCAAGAGTTGTGTTTTGTTTCAAGAGTTATCAAGAGTTATACCATTAGATAGAACCATAATAATTACAACCACGAGACTGAAACTCTTCAAAAAAATTTTAAAAAGTCAAGAATTAGGGAAAAGTATGACTCTTCAAATTTAAGAGATGTGTTGTTTGAAAAAAAAATAACTGCTCATAGCAATTTTAATTTAAGTATAAAAAAATTATTAAGACCAATAGAAGAAAAAAAAAACAATTATAACCAAAGATTGTAATCCTTCAAATATGAAAAAGTATGACTCTTTCATGTAAAAAGATGTGTTGTTTGAAAAACAAATATGTTAATGCCATAAATATCGTATGTCTAAAAAACATTTCTTAGGACAATTGCATGAAAAACAAAACAATGGTTGAAAAATTGTATCTTTTCATAATAAACTGAA